TTTTATCGATCACGTAGCAACTGTTATAGACATTCGACAACTATTTTTCACTGTTTCCTCAAATTCGCGAACGTCATGACAAGCGAGAGTTTACTCTGAAACTCAATTAAATTAATAGCGTTTCCTCGCTATGAACAGTGATGTGTTTGCAAAATGGTCTAAAAATGTGTTGTATACAGGGTGATCTAATAATAGAATCTAAAATATCTCCGTTACTTTTGATATGAGAAAGTATCTAAAGAAGAACTTATTCGCCTCGAAAGAAATTACTCTAATTATTGTAATAAATAAATATTTTTTAAGACTGTTATTTTTGAGATTAAAAATTATTTTGGTGCAGTAAATTTATCTCAAAGGATCATTTAAAGACCAACATATCATGTTAAATTTGTGTGTTTTTTTATCAATTACATTACAGTGATGATAAAGATATGATATCCCCAAAAATTGTTAATGATCTTTAAATCTCGAAAATAATGATCTTAAAAAAAATTTTTTACTTATTATACCTAATACTTGTCTATTCAAAGCAAATAAGTTCTTCCTAGACATTTTCTCGTATCATCAAAAATAACAAAGATATTTTAATATTAGATAATTCATTCTGTATATTAAAAAATACATAGAATACTTTTAGAAAAAGTAAATGTAAATTTAGACATATAAAGATAAAAATTTATATAAATTACTTTTAATTATTAATATTCATTAAAACAAACAAAGAGTGTCTTCTTTGCAAAACGTTGATTTTATAATTTCACTTAACTTAATCACTTAACTCAATCACGCAATGGTATATTATTAAACCACTGAATATTATTTCAATCTGTGTGTGATGAGAAATATAAAAGCTATAAATACGTATGACGAGAAAGATACATATTCAATTAAATTAAAATATTGTAGATATTGACGTCGACAAAGGAACGTCGCATCTGGTGCGAATCAATACGGTACCATTTTTGCAAACAATTCTGTCCGAGCACAAGACAACATCCGATACATCTGAATATTGAAATCCGTTTAACTCGATTATATATAAAAATAATTAATCGATTTTATATATACATATATATATATATATATACATATAAATGACATGTACGGATAATTAAAATCTACAGTGAAACTTAATTTCAATATAAATGCGACATACAAATATCACTGGATATTTATACAGCCAATTAATAATTTTCCTTTTTACCACATATGTATAGTTGACATGATCTCACAAAGATTAACAAATCTATGACATTTTATGCAAAATTCATAAACCTTACTTAATAATAATTCATGCTCTTACCCAAGAGAAATGTGTACTTACGGCGCGTCAAGAAGAAAATGTTGAAATTAAATATAATGAAGAAATATACAAATTAATTGTCACACAATTTCGTAGAATCTTAAAAAAGAAGAAAATTAATTTCACGCACGATTTAAAATTCTATATCTTATCTATGTCTTTGAAGTTTTATTAATTACGCTATTATTATCAAACGTTTGCGTCGAGGATGCAGATGATCATGAAACGAAAGATTAATAAGCTCATCTCCTCGGATCAATAATACAACAATTTTCCGATCTATCGCATACGATGACATCCGCTTCCGCAATCTATCTATGTAGAAACATCGTTTGAACTGTGTAAGTTCCAGTATCGACTCTGACTTGTTGATTTCGCGTGCGATGGTGTATTTATACAGCGTCATCCGCACTTTGACGCGTTCTATCGGAAACAGATATTGTTCATGGCTAGTAAAAATTTAAAAAAATAAAAATTTTAATATATTTTTGAGCAGAATCGAGGTAAATTATCTAAACTAAATCCAAAAAAGTTTTACAATAAATAAACAATGTTATTATAACATTTAGAACAACAAGATTTTTCAACACATATCTGAATCTATTTCTACACAATCACAGAATGAGATCCTTATTTTATATTGACGATAATTAATTTCTACAATAGGAAACTTTTATTTCGCGTAATGATTGCTGGTGTCGACAATTTAACGGCAGTTAAACGATCTTTAGAATTTCGAAGCGTTAAAATCGCATTGCTTTGCCGCCGGCGATTACCACTAAAGCGCGGTTTTATTTTTGCTTTACTGCTCTCGAGCACGGATGTCCAGGAAATTGTTTCCTCTCGAAGAGAGACGAGAATTAACTCCGTAGAATCCCGATCTAACAATTTTGCGAGAGAAAAATGCGGGCACTAGAAACGTGAAAACTAGGTAGAAACTTTAATTCTATTTCTTGCGTGGTATTCTCGATTGAACTATGACTACGATGAGAAGGTCCGGCGGAACTGTAATCGTGTTTGCCATAGGGTAACATCCTAGATCGATCCTGCGACACTCGGTCGTCACAAGAGGATCAACGACACTGCGGATCAGCGAGTCGTTTGACGCGCTCGAAAGACAACGCGCACTTGTCGAAAGCTACTCTCGGCGAGCTTTCTCTACAGTGAAACGAGTGTGAGCTTCAAGGTGGCTTAGCTGTGAAAATCCGACGGCTGACTGGAGGATTCGCAGACGCGCGCCTTTAATTTAGAAACACGAAGCGCCCTCGACCTCGCACGCTGCATGCGGTTTATTTGTGCCAGTGGAAATTCGTGTATTATACATTTGTGTGTATCCTGCACGCTTTACGATTTATATAAGCTTAATGCAGAAGTACTTTTATGCTGAATGCGGCATTCAGGAGTATCATCAGTCTGCGTGTAATGCTACTAGTTATAATTGAAATTCTCCATGCACTTCCTTTTCCTCGATGGGAAAAGCTCCAATTTAGAGAACCAACGATGGTTTGCTATCGTGTAAGAGGAAACGCTGTTTTGTGGTTTCCAGTGTAAGGAAACGACGCAAGTGTCAACCACGAAACCACTAACGACGCTGACCGAACTGTTATCGCATCGGAAGTAACCTAGTAATTACCATGATCAAATCACCTAGCCTTGAGTCACTTCATACATTAGATTTATGTTTGTTTCTAGCAATGCAATTTAATTTTAATCTTGGTTGAACTAATTCATCTTTTTCTAGTTTTAAGAATTAAAAAGGAATAAAGTGTAAGTTGAACCGAAATCAAAATTAATCTTTTTATACACAGTACTTTAAACGTGCATGAATGGAATTACAAAATTCTTTGAAAGAATAATCCGTATCTAATATTTTTCGCAATTATATCATAAATTCTTCGCAAAGTTTTAAGATGATTATTTACATTATTATTAAATCCCCAAGGTCGATTTAATTTGTGCTATTATAATTTTAGCTTCAGTTTATCATTGCGTTGCAAATCTGACAAACCGAATCAACACGCAATTTATAGAACTGTAAAATGTATTTGAAAATTTACACATAAATATTATTAAGCACTAAGATTTGCTTTGAATATTGAGAATCCTTTCTCTTATTTACGTTAATTCGTAATTATTCTATACGTATATATGCGTTATACAAATTGTAAATATTAATATAATGACAAAAAGAATTAATATCAATATTTACAAGAAAGAAGTCTTTAAGAAATTGCGAATGGTGGATGACAAAAAGAAGAAAAAGAAAATTAATCAAATTTAGAATCTATTTGTTAGAATCTGTACTTAATCGGATCTGTTTAAGCGACAATATCGTTTCTCAAGTACAATAGGATTGTATAATAAAGATGCATTAAATCATTAATGCTTTGCAACTTCATCCGGAGGTTACTACCCTTGGGACCGTCTTGCATATTTTAGTGCCGGTAATCCAGCATGATTTTCTCCCACGTTCTCAAACGTAAATCCACACTACTATTTAGCTACTATTTTCGGACGCATCGCGTCAACTATTGGATGGCTTTCCGCCCGTGAAAAGTCCGCAGTGCGAGATAAATCGCACGTTTTATAGCGTTCTAATAAAATCTTTGAGAAATAAACGCATCTATCGAGCACAGAACATTTTCTAAAAGATCTTCTTGAACATCTCTTTTGTAAATTTAATAGAAAAAGAAAAGAAAGAAAGAAGAAAGATCGTGCTAACGCAAGTGGGTTACAAAATACATAAAATAAATTATACAGTGAGATGTTATCGAATGGAATAAACGCGCAACGCTCGATTTTCATATGATTAATGTCCATTTCTACCAGTGTAGATTAACTTTAATCTCGATTTAAATGTAGAATGTTGTCGCCATTGAACGATATAGTATTGTTGTCGATACGTAATATTTTACATAAAAGGAAATAGGCCATTCTTAATTATAATATGACAAATTTCCATATATTTTATAAACAAAATATTTGTAATCTACTTTTATAAATACAAATAACCTAATTATTAACCTAAAAAGAAAGAAGTAATAAACATATTATAAAATTCAATCTTAAAATAATATGGTCGATTATGTATGTGTTTTTTCATACTTAAACAAAATAATAAAGTATATAATAACACAACAAAAATATTTAAAAATTAAAACTCATTTATCACACTCTGTTATAATACAGATCCGAGATGGTCCAAACTGATATAAGTATAATAGACAAAATTTTTAAAGTTTGCTTCACTTGTCCTACTTTTTAACATGGGAAAATGAACGTTATAATGATAAAAGCATAATTTAGCGCTTAATGATTTCACTACCTGTATGTAAAATTTACGTAGCCCTTTGGAATTAACTCTCAAGTACTAAGATTAGTCCGTTGATGTAAAAAAAAAACAAAACGATATATATCTGTTTTATTATTAATACTTTCATAAAGACTGATTTATAATGATTTGATTAATAAAACAGATTTATGAAACTCCTATGTTTTTATTCCAGTTTTATTTAAATCGATGTTCCAGAGATTTTAATAAAAGTGTCACTATTTTTTATCTCAGTATTTAAGATATTTAACTTATTTTTTATCTTTTTCTAATTTTAAGAATTAAAAAAAGATAACGAATAATTTAAAATTAAAGTTAATCCATATTGATAAAAATGGATATAAGAATGACGAAGAATCGACTCACCCATGTCGTCAATTATAGGCGCCATTCGCAGCGTAACACCAACCAGGAGTAAGGACATGGCGAGCAGAAGACAAGCGGTCGCGACGATCGTCCATCGTGCACGAGGCGGAAGTTCCTCGGGATCGACGAGTTCCTCTTCCGGGCAGACGGGTTCGATCTTGCGTCGTTTACGTTTACGCTTTCTTCGCGGTCGGTGATATCTTCCCTGAGCTTCGTCCACCTTCTCCGGTCCGCTCAGAGTCTCCTCTTCCTCCAGCTCGTCGGCTACGTTCAACGCTACGTAGTCGTCGTCGTCGTAATGAATTTTTCTGAAAAAAATATCGGAAAATCAGAAAAGATTCTTCTCTGTCGATATTTATTTGGAAATATCGAATGACGATTTGCTTTGAAATGACACATGCAAAAACCGCACGAATAATACACCAGGCTATTGTTTCCACAACTGTGGCTATATTGTTCATCGTTATTCTCCAGCAAAACCGTTTCAGAAATGAAACGTGCGAGTACTCTGGCTGCGTCTGACGTTTCATTTGAATGAAAAAAAATAACGTTTCCCTTGTGTACCTCATGTAGACGTTCAAAAATAAACTTTTTCCCTCTTGAATTGTCTAATAATAGAAAACAAATGTCAATATAAATTTACAAATTACATTGTCTGACAATAGAAAACAAATGTCAATATAAATTTACAAATTACATTGTCTGACAATAGAAAACAAATGTCAATATAAATTTACAAATTACATTGTCTAACAATAGAAAACAAATAACAATATAAATTTACAAATTCTTAAAACATTTTTAAGAAATTTACTTTTACAAAAGAGATTGTTTAAATAGAAATCGAGAGCTTCGTCTTTTTTTAGATTGTTCTTGCAATGAAATTTCATATTCATTTTATAAATATATAAAACATATTCATTTTCTGAATAAATCCGAGCTATCGATGTCGTTAATTAAAATCTACATTCATTCGCACTTCATTCGTAATTTGAACAGCGGAACACGTTCCCGACTTTAATACTGATTGTAAAGGCTCGAAAAAGGGCGAGCGACGAACGAGTATCGATCATCGTAGTACCTGTATTGTTCGTGAAACTTGAGAAGTCGCCGTACCGCGGGTGGCGGTGACTGAAAAGCCAACATTCATTGTTATGTACCGTGTACCCTCAATCGAGACTTGGAATTAAGAACGTTACCCCATTTTCGATCAACAGAAGCGATTGAACGGCACAAGATCGGATGCTCGCAAAAATCAGCCACGTTTTTGCAATGTTAAGGAATTAAGAAACGTAAATGAAAATAATAAATCTATTATACCTTCACGTACATGTTGAAGCTTCAAAATTGAAATTCGAAATTAAAGACTTTTGATTAAATATATGACATTATGGATATCAAATAAAATGCAGGCTGCGAATAAATCTTCGTGATATTAAATATGGAAAATATTCCACAAAAAGTGGTTAAAAATAAAAATAGTAGTGAGATAGAGCTATGTATAGTTTTGCTGACGTACTAAAGGTAATATAGAGCATCAAAGAAGATGCCTGATAAATTTGCGGTAAAATTGTTCAACTCGTTCTCTATCGTATATCGAAGCTCGGTAATGTACGGAAAAGCGGGCCAGCAATTCGATATACGTTCACAACGGCCAACGAGAAGCAGATCCCAGTATCGAGCTGAACAAAGAACAATCGTTGCACTATCTACGTCACACACACGAAGGCCATCACGTGCTCTCTGAGTATAATTTTAGAAAATGCCGCTGGAATAGGACGGAAAAGTGGAAAAACGATAACCGAGGTGCCGGGACATTGTGGAGGACTGGAATGAAATTCGAAGTAGTGATAACAACCGGCGTGTGGTCGGACAATGGCGATTCACGTTGATTCTCGTATTATCATCGTTTGCACTCTCCGTCGCATCCGTTAAAAGGAATTGGACCTTTCGAAATATATGAATATGTACATTTCGTTATTCTGCAATTATGCAGCGATAAAGTTAATTCCATTATTAATATAATGTATCCAAAGTTCATTTATTAATAATGCTTATCGGGAGAATCGCGAAAAGCTTATAAATAGAAGTCTCTACCTTCAGCGACAAGGTATTCAATTAAGAGGAGATATTCGATAAAGAGAGAAAAGTAAATTGATACACTAGTAGTAGTTTTCACCGTATCGAGAAAGACCGTATCAAGTAGTAAACGTTGATGTTGAATCAGTCACTCTGACAGTTATTTTCCCGTACAAAAAAAAATTTCAATTAATATTGCCTCTGTGACATATCGGACAGTTATTTTGTAACTGTCAAGATACGGTATCTCGCGATCTTGCACATATATATATATATATATAGGGCACTCGTTATTACGTTTCATTTAACCGAACATATCAAATGCAACTTAATAGTACAATTTAAAAATTGAAAGGTATTTCATACTTTTTCAATAAATTAATGAAATTTATATTAATTGCTAAAGCGTTGTGTTATAACACTTAATTAATTAAACATACTTTTATCTGCGTTATGAAAAATGTGGTATTAATTTGGTATTTGGAAAATATGTATTTTTAAAAATTTTAATTAACAAAAATTATTTCTGAAAGTAAACCACTAAATTATGTGATAAAGCACGAGAGTTCCGAGTGTTAAATTGATTAATGTAGAACAGTTATTAGAGGTGTCCTTCCAAATCTCATCCTCAAAGGTTGTCAAATGCATCTGCCGCACGTAATTTTAGAGATCGTTTCGCCAAATTAAAAAAGGAGAAAGGACGCACGGGATATTGAGGAGATGACACCTCTTCGTGATCGCTAATCGCCGTCGGCTATCCAGTTTCATTACACGCTCCAATTGAGCGCTCGTCCTTTGTCGCCCAGGTAGTTCAGTCGCCAAATCGTATTTGCCGAGAGCGGCATGTGACGAAGGCGCGCAACCACGCACCACGCTGACCCAGTTTCACTGGGTATGCTGGCTCATGCCGAAACCATGTCTTTCTCTCTCTCGCTTCTCGTGGTCGACCGATCGAATATGGAAGAAGGACAAGAGATGCAGAAGCACTCCTGGCGACCTCGTAAACGAGAAGACGGAGAACGAAGGCTCGCGAGTGGACGAGTTTGCTACTAATAGGCGACTAAAGCTAGAGAACCGCAGCTTTATCCGTAAATGCGAAAACTTTACCAAGATTTCCTGAGATGTTCCGAAATTCCACGAAAGAGGATAAGCCAGTTCCGGAATTTAAAGCCAATTTGTTCTTAGCGAAGGCGTTTTTTATCGCGACGTCCTAATTCTTGGCGTTAAGAAAATAGTATGATTCTAAAAGAAATCTTATTCTTTCTATGAAATCCATTAAAGATTTATCTTGCCGACATTTGTTGTTGTCGCATACAGTTGTACACTTGAAGTACTTACAATTGAGCTGCGCTTTGAGAAAAGTAGCAGGCACTTCGGTGCAGCCGCGGATATTCGCAGGAGTCGCCGAGGACTTCTTTAGCCCTTTCGAAATTTATTAGGGCCACGTCTTGGTCGCCGTCAATGCCAAGCAACTCGAAACGCGAATCGAGGCCGGCGTGAACGTCTTGGACGACGCCTTGGAGAACATTTGGGCTCCTCGAATGCCTGCGCTTCTTTCGAGGGCTTCGAGGACTTTCGGAGGCTCTTCTCCGTCCTCTTCCTAGAACAGAAAGAGCATAATTAGCGAATGTCAGCCTTCATCAATATTTAACAAAATTAATAGTGAATGTTTTCGTTGCGTTATTTTTATGCATTAAGCCAAACCGGAGAGAAAATTTTGTATATTATTTTTATTTTTTTTACAATATATTTATATTTTGTTTGTATCTCTTTTCTGTTTGTATATCTTTTATTATCACTTTCTTTTATTTTCATTTATTTTTTTTTTATTAAATTTTTTATATATTTATATTATTTTTTTATATTCTATGTTATTTTTCCTTATTTTCGTTCGATCTATTTGTTTTTAGAGGGTTTGCTCTATAACAATAATAAACGTCTTATCCATCTATTTATAATCTACCAAATATTTTTATTTTATTTAACTTTTTATTCAGATTCGCGCATGTGATTGATTAAACCGATTAATGTTTTACTTCGTATATTTATGCAAAGAAAAATTTCTCGTAAGAAGATAGATCTCTTCGGTTTATTAGATCGAAGAGATCCAAACTAATTTTTCATTAATTGTATTATCTCCATAAAAAAAAACTAATTCTTGCCAATTATGTTATATCCACAAAAAGGACTCACACACCTACCATTAGATAATTTATGCTGAGAATGATCCACCGCGTTGTTGAGGTAATCACTCTCGCAGGGCGCGGAGTCGTGACGTTTGCGATGATGGCGGTGATGCTGATGATGTTGGCCTTTCTTCTTATTATGTTGATGCTGCTGTTGCTGCTGCTGGGAATGATGATGATGATGGTGGTGGTGATGATGGTGGTGATGGTTCAACGAGGAGGAGGCCGTCGAGGTTGAGGTCAATCTAGGTCGACGCGGACTGGTGGGCGCGCTGCCGGAACGTCGGCTAAGCGTCGACGACGCCTTCATCGCTTCCACTTTTGTCTCCACCAGGGCGGCGAGGACAGCCTCCAAACGCGCCACTTCCATGCCGCCGCTGCCGCCGCCATCGTCCGTCGACACCGCCTTGTCGGCGACGTCGGAAGTCGACGGCGTCACCGTCACCGTCATCTCTTCACCTGCCTTCGCCGCTGCTGTCACATCACGACTTTCATCGGCGGCGATCGTGGCGATCGCCGTCGTGCGATCGGTTGTGCCGCGGGAACGATTGACCCGCTGCCGAAACGATCACAAGCCCTCCTCCTTCCGCTTCGCCGCGACAGCACTCCTGTTGTCCGCTGACGACAGTTCCTGCAGGAAGCGCGACAACATGAAGCCGACCGCCTGTGTCACCGACCGCTGGACCAGAGACAGAGATAGAAAGTGAGAGAGCCGCGACGTTGTTCTCCCTTGGCCGTGTGGTTCCTTATTGGTTACTATCGTCGCGACGTTGTTCCACTGGTCGTACCGTTCATTAATCTTCCGTAGAATTTCCAGGCGACGCTACTAACGATCTTCTTCCCCCGATAACGGTAACAGCTACAAGCCGCATAAAAGCTGGTAATCACCGTCGTTCCAATACGTCCGCATTAGCCAGTGCTTCTTGCATCAATGGCCGTGTGAGGGAAGTGTCTTTCTTCTTCACTGAATCAAAAACGAGTCAGGCTAAAAACGCTCGTTTCTATTTCTCTCGCTTGCCAAATAATGCGTGCAATTTATGTAAATATCTTGATACTTGCTCAAGCATCTTGCCGGCAGTATCTAACTCGATTCTGTTTGCTTACCACTAATTGCTCTACTTGGCAAGAAAGATGAAACATCGATAATTCTTTATTTGTTCCAATTTCTTGTGCTTCTCGTCGCTGCTCCGCAACGGATCCAAAATCGAGGAGATTCGAGATCCCCGGCAGATGTAACTGCACGCCCAATTAGCTCGTTCACTACGTCAGAAAGCAGTCTGAATTCGTTCTGTTGCCTGGAGCCAATCGATGTTCGGCGAACCGTTCTTGGCTGCAACGGTCAGCTTCGCGATGCGAGTCTTAGCCGGATTTGTGCTCCATTATCGGCGATGGCCGTACATTATCTGATGGCAAATATCAGATGATTCGCCGTGTTCGACGAGACGGATGATTCCCCGCGGTTGCCGTAAATTTCTTCCAGCGGCTCCGCCGGCGCTCGCGTTTCCATCATACGCGAGTATCTCTTCCACAAGTGTCTGCTTTACGGGATGATTAATCGAAGCCACTATTTGCGCAGATGTGTACCCGCGAATAATCGAAAGCACTCGATAAACTCGATATCGCTTGCCGGTGTCGCGTTTCTTAGTTTCTGATTGCAAAGTCCGTTACACCGCTGTCGTATTTTTGCAGTGATATACAATTTTAATGCGACGAAAGATAATCTTCAATCACTCATCGATTTTCCACGATTGGCTGCGACGCCCGATGCTCTCGAAATACTTGACGTCCTTTAAATCACCAAGAATACGCACTTAAGTATCATTTAGTAACACAAACCTCAAAGATATATTGTGTTTATGTGTTTCGCAAACACAAAATCATGTTCATGACGCGATTATTGAAATATTTAAATCGAGGAAATCTATTTAAGACAGAATGTAAAGCAGCAACAGTGATGGATCGATGCTCCCTTTCAAAACAGAATCAGAATCACGCCGGTGGTCGTTTCTGCTCGAGCGATTTCTCACGACCTATTCCGACTACCCACGTAGCTAATGACCCTGTTCCTTCATTCGACGCAATGCGAAGGACTGCCGAAACACGCATGCTATGTCCGATTAGAATGCGATATGACGGATTGCGTGGAAGTTATCCTAATTGAGATTAGGAATTATCTAAATTCTGAAATAAATTTCGAAACTTTTGGGGTTTGAGATAAAATGTTCCGAATAAAAAATTATATTAGCTATATCAATATGACCGCATAATCGAACTATTATATCCGATAATTTTAGATTCTGGTGTGCCCTGAATAGCCTTGAATATCGTGAACATTATATATTCTTTGGACATTGTCGAAAAGCGTTCCAGGAATGTTCTCAATGGAATAAATAATCAAAACCCATTTCATCATCGATCTAGATTATTCTAATAATACGGTTAAATTCAGTTTAACACACATTATAGATTTAAGAAAATTATTGCACACGAGCATAAAAATGTTGATACCACAGTATTTCAGTGACGAATATATAAATTACACATATTATATAAAATCTAAAATTTTTAAATATAATTTTAAAAAATTTAAAAAACTTTGCATCTCTATATGTTCTCAATTGGAACAAAATAAAAGTACTCAAATACAACTTTATAACAAAATAAAATTTTGTTTAAATTTTTTTTGACGAGTAACTTTATAATAAAACAAAAGTTCTTAAAAATACAACTTATAAATTTAAAAAACTTTTAATTACATCTCTCTATATATAGACTCTGAACTTTAACAAAATTAGAAAGAAATTCTCTAGAGTACTCTCTTTATAATTTAAATACGGTGAGAGGAAGATGAAATTCCTCTTTTAATAAAAAGCGATAAACAATGGAGCAAATGAAGTAGCTTGTTGGGAAGCATCGCCGCTCTATAGTCTCTAGCGTCAAAGCATTTGAAGGACTTGATTGGCTAGCGCAACACATCAATACGCTTTGGCAGCTGATTAGCCATAAAATCACCCGATACTACATGGATGTACCGAGAATGTTGAACTATGTAGGGACTCTCCCGCGCTTTGAGTCATTCGATGATTTCATATCATGAGACGGATCCGCGAACATGAAAGTGCGAGAGAAAATCTGAGCTTCAAACTCGATTTCCAAACATCATTCCTAACTTATTCTCTAGGGTCACCATGACATAGCATCCAATCTGCTCATGTCACCCCTAATTTTTCGGAACGATCCTTCTTCCGCAAACCCCAAATATCTCACTGACGAACCGTTCTCGTGTCTCTCCAGGGAATAAGGGAGGAGATGTAGCTATTTCGAAGGTATACATGATATCTCGTAAGCGGGGAAGAGACACCGAAACAAAGCGTACACGAGGGGGTAGTCGAACGTAGACAAAAAAAGCGACAAGAAGATGATATAGAACTTCAGAAAAATGAGATGTCACGAAACACAATGCGCGTTTCTTATCCTTGAAATATTTCTTTTTGCAAAAGAAATGAAAGTATGTGAGAAAGTATCAGGTTACTCAAATTAAGAAAGATACAGATGGAAGGAGAGTTAATCTTTTCTGGACTGTACAATGATAATATCGTGGATAAAAGTTTGATCAAAACTCTTCTTTTTGTAAAGAAAGAGCAGATTCCATTGAGAGATGTATCTGCAATGAAGTAGAGAAAGAGACAGAAACCGAAGCAATTATAATGGATCTCTCTCTCTCTCTCAAGCGAACGTGAGTATTTGTTGTCACACACAAACCTGGGCACTACTACTGATCGTCCTAAGACAATACTTGCTCATGTACACTACTCACTGCTCGCGGGTCTTCTGTACACGTTTACTGACGACGCTACATTATTCCAATCTCGCGGATGCTGACCAGAGGTCTGCGGCTAACTCCTCTTGTGCGGGAGGTCGTGACGGTTCTAGATACCCCGTGCACCCTCGCGCGGCACGGGCGCGAGGGTTGATCGAGCTATTAGCGTACCACGCGGGGTGGGCTACGTCATGCTGCTGGCTGCACCACGTTGCTGGCTGCCACTGCAATAGGCAGCACCCTCAGTGAGCACGCACGCACACACATACATACATACATACATAGAGATGCGGTGGCGCGCACCCTCAACGGAGGGATGTCGCGTGCGCGGGTGCTAGCGATCTCCCGAGTACTGGGGTAGCGTCGCGGAACGGACAGGGTTGGCGGCGGGCAGGTAGCCGATCTGGCAGGGATGCGTTCAGCCCTACCCCTTCCTGACGACGTCGTTACCACCACCAGCATCACCGACGTCGGCGCCGTCGTCATCGCCAACAGACGACTCTTCTCCCTTCTCCCGGCTGGAGCTGGACTCTAAGGGTGCCAACGAACCGAGATGTTTATCCTTTAAAGTCCTTATTACCTTACTCACACGCGCTTTTTATTCGACACGCAACCGCACCACTTTTAGCGACTTCGAAATGTAGGTTTGTATGTTAATTAATTTGATAAAGAAATATACCGCACGCTCTATAAATTGCGCAGTCTCTTTTTTTCTCCGGATTAGAAATATTGAAAGCTGAACTAAAAAGGATGGTGGCTCTTAAAATATCCAAGAATCAATAGCTTTTACGGTATAAAAAGCTCTCGAGTACTGTAAAACCTTTCAAATATTGCATTTCAATAATACAGAAAGATTTTATGTATCATTAATAATATTAGTTTAATTTCACATGAATTTTATAATTTAATTAAACTTTAATTTATAGTTTAATTATCGATGTATTACTATATATGTACTCATTGTTCTGCAATTAGTAAGTCGATGTACTAAATTAAAACGATTGACCTTTAATTACTCCCAAAATGGCAAATTGCACGTCGGCAAACCGAGAATTACCAGCATTAATTTTAACGTACTATCGTGTAATTATCTATGTGAAAATGTCCGCTACACAGGTTTCGCAGAGGAAAAGCCGACTTTGCGAAGGCATCTGGGCCCTGTGTTAAACCGGGCTTATCGAGATATAAATCATTTTATTACTTGCTGCAACAGCGCAGTTACGGGTTACGTTATAAAGATAGATCGTGATACTCACTGTACCAAACAAAGATAAAATTTTACATTTTAACAACGTCGTAACGTATATATATTTTTAACATTAATAACCATGATTCAGAGTTGAGAAGTAACGCGTTACATGTAACGTCGTTGCCGTTACAATTACTTTTTTTCAATAACCAATGGATACTAAAAACCAATGGATTACATTTTCTTAATTCTAACGTGATAACGCAGCTATATTCCCATGCAGCACTGATCATTACGAAAAATTTTCAGAAATGTTTCAACCTTTCACTTGCAACAATTCTAAAAGGCTTTTGCAATATGAAATGTTTTAACAGAAATGTTTCTAAAATCTGTCACATGCAATAAATTGAAAAACATATTTAAACAGAACAAAAAATCATCATAATGTTAAAATGGCTCCAAAATGTTTATTAAAAATCATTTTTTTAATCAATCACGATTCAGTTTAACATTATTTTGATATTATTATCACTTGTTCTACTTTAATTGCGAGAAACTCTTATATATAAATGCCTTGTTCGGCTTTAATTGCGAAAAACTTTTGCATATAAATAATGATATTGTGTGGAAACTGCAGGTGTGATTTTTAATAGTGATTACGTATATGTGCTTATACATATAATATTATATGATTAATCAAAATAGTTGGCGATATAATTACTTTTTTTGAGAAATACTTTAAGTTCATTTCAATAAGTTTTGTAAACAGATCACAAAACTCTTAAAACATTTTAAGTACATCAGAAATGATATTTAATATGTTTAAAATTGATACTTAAACAATATTTAATTAAATTTATTATATGTCGACAATAATAAATAATAAATTTAAATATTATTTAACTATCAATTAAGTATATATTTAAATATATCGTTTTTATAGTAGTTACTAGAAATAGCTGAAACCTTTTTAATATTTCAAAAAGATTGCAGATTCTTACTGTAACCTTTCATCAATCTTTCAACAAGATTTCATGTGTAAGAATCGCGAACACTTTGTTATTCCAGAATTGTCTCCGAAATGTTGCAAACATATTTCGCAATTTTTATGAAATATTTCACCTTTTAATTGAAATATTTCTGAAATATTTCTGAAAACTTTCGATGCTGTAATGATAACAAATATAACCATTACTTTTATCGTTATTTTATATACGTACGATACATATATGTACAATAGAACGTACACAATTGGAAAATTTGTCTTAAATTTAACAAACTTCACGTGTCCCAAACGATCCATCTAAATTTTTGTATTATTATTATTTTAATACAAGACGTGTATGTTGAGAAGTAACACAAATATTACGTAAAAATTAATGCAAAAAAATATGACATTGGCACAATTTATAAACAAATTATAGAAGCATATTTTTTTCAACAAAATTAACATTTATAATATGTTACATTAATATATTTTATTCATTTATTTTATGTTTAAAACATTGTTAATTTCTTACTAATAAATTGCGTTATTTGAACACTAAAAAAATATTGGATATTAATTTAATACAAAATATTCAAATGACATAATTATATTATGTCAAATTAACCAATTATTTTTGGATACGTTAAAAATTCAGAAATTTTAACATGGATCTATTTTAATATGAATAAAAAATGTTTTTTACTGTGTAATCGAGTTTAAAAAGAAAGTAATATTATGTTTGATTATATTTTGCGATTAATCATTGTAAATTTCGTGTTAAAAATCAATTAGCGATCACATAGATGATTTTAAAGAACTTTAAAGAAAAAGTTATCAAATTTTGATGAAAAAGTAATGTAAATTATAATAACCCGTAGTTTTTGAGAGACGATAAGAAGTTTCTTTTTAAAATCAGTAATGAGTTACTTTTCAAAGAAATAAACGTTAACATAACGAGTTACCTTTGTAAAGAAACTTTCCAAGCCTGCATGCCAAGATTGCATAAATCAAATCTAATAAATTAAAACTAAAAAAATGATGCCAAAATAACGTTAGGAGTAATGATCGTGCAAGAAACCAGAAATCCCGCTCCACTGTTCTTGATTATCAGCTCCCCTTTCTTGAAGAACGAGGTCGAATTGTGGTAGTTTCTGCACGAACGGTAAAGCGCTTTCCTCGCTAGTTTGATTAGATTGATCAGCATCGAGGAAGGCCCTCAGGCTGACCTTTTTTTTGTTAAAACATCCTCGGGACAAATTTCTTTCGTAGGTTGATTGTCGCTATCTACTTATTCTTTCGCTTTGGAAGAATGCCAATTGGATTTTCTTCTTCATATGCCGAATTTTGTTTGTTTTACTTTTCGCAACAGCTTGCCTTCATGCGACTCTGAGAATTGAAATCCAGAATCAATATCCAATAGCAGTAAGCAATTGAGCTTCATATGACTCCCTTGGTGCAATTTTGCTTCTTCGGAAAATCTGGCGATCGAATTTATAACCCTTGATAGCCAAAGCGTCGAAATAAATTTCATCGATCGACCTGTAGCTTCTCGCAGTTCAATAAAGGCACCCCGTCGAAAAAGCACTTTCCACGAGAAGAAACCTTCATGTATCATCTTCTCTCCTATGTTCTGGATCGCCCACGTGAAATAAGACGATTAGCACGTACGCCATTATCTGGAAACGCGGCGAAGAATCATGGTGGAATCAAGAACGTTCCTAAGACATTAGCGCAAGCTGCATACGTAAAGGAGAGCGTACGTGCATGGTTTGAAAAATGAGATTTTTTCTTTAAAATGAAATTATTCTACCAAATTAATTTTATTGAATTTATTTGAATTTATTAATTTTAATAATTCTTGAATTTTTTTATAGTAACAATGTATAACTTTCTATAAGTATCTCAATCTATTTTCGTAAATTCTTCATCTTGTGCTTTCAAAAATTTTAACATATTATTTTTGATAAATCAGAAATGCAAGCCAATATAAGCCGACAGTATAGTAATGTATAAAACTTGTATGTATTAGTATTAATAATAATAAATAAACAATAATAATAAACGTTTCGACCACAATTAAAGTCAATGTAAAATCGAAATTAAATATTAAGCATTACAATTTGGTACAATATGAAAATATAATCGAGATGCTTTGTAAAACTAGAAATATGTCGCAAGTTTAAAGTTAAAAATAGTAGTCCAAGAATAAAATCACCAACCGTTTGTATTTATCAATGTATTTGGCATGAAATACATAATTTGATCAGTCAGATATTAAAATTAAAATATCTTTACTGATCTATATAAAGAATATTGTACAGGATGCAAAAGAGTAGTTACATTTACCTTACTTTCGTCCATCTGCGTAATACAAATCTGATTTCTACTAGCAATCGTTGATGCTTGAAAGACGTATATATTCGCAAGTTTCGCAAGAATAACTTTATCTATTCCGCATGATCGAATTGGCAGAAGGATAATTCCTTTTCAAGAAGATACAAATGGCAAACTCGGTTATTGGATTGACGTTAGTTAAATTGAAGGCCATTGTCAGAAATACACAGCAAGTTCAATGAAGTTAAATGATCGACTGTTAGTCATAAATATTTAAAAATAAGAGTGATTTGTACACATAAATTCTTAAAAGTGAAAGATTATTTTAAATGATTATGATGGTATGAAAAATGTTTAAAATTAATACCTACTATTGTAATCTAAATTATAATTATATATTACTTAGAGAAAAGGCTGTTAATTATTTGATGGGATTAGTCTCTTTTCATTCCCGGTGACGAGCTCAAGTTCTTCCGCAGTACCTTCCTATAATAATACATAAATTTAAATAACATATTTTAAGTTCGTATTTATTCAATATGTAATTTATAATGTATGGTCTAATTTTACATTATTTGTAATAAAAAGATAATAATTATACATTTCGTCCACATTTAATTTTAGTAATAAATTTTTCAATCTGCCTCTTTCAGCTTTTCGAACTTTTTACTGGATTATTATTAATTATAATTATAACATCAGATTCGATAATTCTATTTCTTTTTTTTTTGGGCTCTGATTTGTCAGGTAGACAATTAAACCTTCGCATAAGTTGAGAGTAGGGCAGAAATCAATTTCCGTCCTTCTTGTAGGGCGTGGTTTT